TGTGCCCGGCCTCCGGCTCCGGCCCCCGCTCCCGGCCCCCGCCCCCACCCGCGCGGGCGCTGAAAGGGCCGGCGCTTGATAAAGAGGGAGAGAGCCTAATTTCGAAAATATGGGGTAGAGCGCGCGGCGGAAACAAATGCGCACACGAGTGGCGCCGCCCCGCGCAGCCTAAATGCCGCTGAATCGGGCTGCGACAGGGGGGGGGCGTCCACTCAACTGATCCGGGACGGCCGCTGCAGCGAGGGGCGGCGAGAGCGGGGCGGAGTTAGGGCTGCTTTGAGCCCGGCGAGAACCGAGGCCGGCCCTCGACGGCCTATCGTCCCATGTGGAAGTGTTTAACAGACGAGATCGTAATGCGCCGGCGGCGCCACCGTTACTCCATCTTCAACTGCGATGTTGGGTGGTGGCATAAACTGTAAACAGCTGGTCTTGTTTTGACCATGTATTCTTTTTTAGTAATGTGTAATAATGTATGGTCGTTTGATAGAGCAACATAATAAATATTAGTGTATCTCATTTTATTTTATAAATACTATCATTAAAAAAATAGTTTGAATTTTTCAGTTTTCATTAGCAAAAAGGTTTAGAAAAAATATTGGCATATTTTAAATATATTTTTTTATGATCGTCTTTTAACAGCCTGCGTTGTTTTAAAGAATCCTTTTGCAACCCTGTATTTCTCGAGAAACCGTAGACGCTTCAACATATTCATTTCCTTTCCAAATTAGAAATAATATTATTATATTTGTGCATATGTCGTATTACTAGTAAGTATAAGGAATATTTTTCGTTTACTGTATCTCAGTTTTCTACAGATTTGTTTTTATTTTTATCTTGAATTATATAAAGTATTTGATTTCGAATATAGGTGTTGTGGTAAGATATCTTTGGCATTTTTAAAATAATTAAAGATGTTGTCATTGCCAACAATGTTTTTTAATTCAATAGCAGCTTTCGAAAGCTGATATTGAATTAAAAAACATTGTTGGCAATGACAACATCTTTAATTATTTTGATTTGGAAACTTACAGGCTTATGATGTGTGAAGAGATGTTGAATGCGGACTATTAAAATTAATATTATTATATTAACAAAGATAAAACATGACAACCTTTTCCCTCACGAGTATGATACTATGATACTGTGTCATTAGGACAACGTGTAATGCAGTGACCAAAACCCAAGGTTTCATACTCTGGGTAGCAGGATTCAAACGCCGGTCACTACATAATGAATTTGTGGTGGACCAAAATTGCCCTCTTCTTCTCTCTCATACATTGCAGCATCGACATTTATCCCGTTATCATGCACTTATGAAATAAATCGCCATTTCCCGTGTAATATGAACTCGAGGAGAGATCAGCACTGTCAATGAATTCCTCTTCCGTGAGATGGCAGCCCAGGAAGAGGAAGACGTGACGACGGGCGGGTGAGGCGGAGGGGGGGTGAGCTGGAGGGGCGGCTGAGAATATACCGATGCAGCGAGCAGACACGTGTGAAGAATGGGTAAGAAAAAACAAGGATTCAGTATGGATCATGGAGTCACGCGTGGAGATCTGTGCTCGCAGTGAGTGAGAGAAATCTATTGATGTACGTGTGAGATGTTCTCAGCATTGTGTAAATGAAATTGATGACTTCATCAAGGTTGTTATACAATTGATTAGTATCTTTAGATTACGTCATCTTCAGATCTGCAGTGCAGATGTTTGGTCAATTTAGTCGCTTTTTCTACTTCTACGCTCTGACGAAGTCATCGAACGATGCTTATGGAATAATTAAAACAAGACTTAAAGACAACAGCCTGTGTTATTTGAGATCAGTCGTCCACGAACAAGAAGAAATGATCGAAATGTGATAGGTTGCTGTGGCTACAGACAGAATTAAAGATACCTGGGGGTCGACACGATCAATCGCAAACGACGTATTTGCGAATTTGCTTTGCGTTGAAAAAGACGCATACGGAGGTATGCGAGTGATATCAATGCAGGAATTCCTCATGAAGGGAAGAAAACAAATTGAGAAGAAACGTAAGGGTTGTACTAGTCATTGAATAGCAAGACAATTTCTCTGCAAGCATGTACTTGATTACAGAAATATCTTTAAAATCATTACAAGATAACAAGACAGAGTTTCATTTCGTTTTGAAAGCGTTTCGTAATAATTTCGTTTTACTTGGAATTTATTGTAATTCAGAACATTCACGTAGATAATTATCACAATTTATTATCAACTTCACAATAACTTCTTCCTCCTTACGTCCCAAATAATTATTATTGTTTTTTATGAAAATCTAATCACACTGCAATAAAATCCGTAATCTGTAAATAAATATACAGAGAAAAGGCATTAAACATTATATAATTTCATGGATTTATCAATGGATTAATTATTTGTTTTTACTTTTATTTTTGCAACACCCTTCTCGAAGGTGCTGGAAATTTATATTCGCGAAGTATTAACCTGGAATGCAGTTTATTAGCTGCCAGAATATTAAAATTTCTTTATTAATCGCTAGCCTCCTGTATTTTTTAGTTTTTGTGTCGGTGAAGTTTATTATAAACCCTTATGAATCATTTTTATCAGTAATGCAATTGTTTTCGTTCTTTACTGCAATTGCTTCCCTTTGTTACCATTCAGAATTAGAATATCTATTTTAGGAATTTAGTTCTTGAGGGAAATTATACAGAAATAGTTTCAAATTATTTCGAACCATATACGAAAGAAAATAGAGTTAATGGCATTTTCTGTTTCGTGAATCGACGAGTATGTGTTGATAAAAATCTGCTCTTTTTACTAAGACGCTCTTAAAATGTTAAAACTGTTATGCCGCCCACCTGACGCATAACTCTTCACTGAATATTTCAAATGTGAGTCGAATTCTGCCTGATCGGGCGTGTGGTTATGATGTGGTGGGTTTGAATGCTGCGAAAGTCGTGTTTATTTCTATTTCGTGATTGTGTTATGGAAGGCAGAGGCGAGCAATCGCATATCGCAAAACATTTATTAAGCCATTGTTGATCATTTCATTTCTGCACAGGACAGATAATTAACCGGTGTGTGTGCTTTTCTGAGAACAGTCCATAAAAAGAAATGAGAGCAAAAAATATAAGTTGCGGCCGGAACGTGTGGTACTTTTTCCGAAGAGAGTGTTCTGACATCTCTGGTCTATCATCTGCCTATGCAGATAAGGAGCATCTAAATGCAGATGATCATACGCGGAAGGGATACATTTTTC